TGATTGTAGCTTGACGATCGTGAGCTTTTGAGAACCTAGCACCTCAAATGTGATCCTTTAATGAATCACAAACACCAAAGCAATTGGATATCTTTGAGAGAGAGGGAAAGGTCAAAATAGGCTCTATGATCTCTAGGGTTTAAGTGGTAGCCGAAGTTGTGAAACCTAGGGCCCTTTATATAGGTGAGGAATTAGGCTTCAGTCAAGACCTCATCCGGTTGCTTTTGCCTCTAAGTAGCCCACACGAAATCTTCCAGAACCTTAACCCTTGGACGAAATCCTTATGGGTTTCCATAAGATTTCGTCCAACCCCTTCCATAGGTGTTCCTCAGCCCAAAAGCAATTATCTTAGAATTACAACTTCAGTCCCCTTAATTCAATTAATCTCTTTTGACCACAAAAAGTTAATTTTTAAATTAATTCTTGACCAATTTTAATTAAATAATATGATTTCTCCTTTAATAGTAGGCATATATACTTAATAACCCATAATAACCTCTTTCTCCATTATTCATTACACTCAGTTGCTCTGGTGAGGCAAACCAAATGGACCATGCTACAACCGGGTCAAGTACATACCAATATAGTTATGGGCTTAGACACCTAATCCAACAGTCTCTCACTTGATACGTCTAATAACTATAAATGCAATTACGACTTCAAAATCCGATTAGCATCAGCTCTCAAAGCTGCTGTCGAACTCTTACACGTCCTTTAGATAAGGGATCGTATAGTCCTCCGTTCTCAGATATCGTGTGGACCAATTACATGGAACATAGTCATACTTTATTGTCTAGCATTTGTTTCTCGATCTCTGATTTGTCTGACATAGAACTTAATTGAAACACATCAAGTTATCCCTGACCGGTCCCGACACATAAGTCAAAACAAATCATCGAGGGGCCCAATATCGTTTTTTAGCCTCATAGGATAAAAGGACATATAACTATCGACTTATTGCTTGTACTTTTACTCATCAAATCGTACGCAACAATGCGTTTTATAACATCAAGTTACTGATGCGTTTACGCATTATCAATGCACAACCGAATCGCAAACAACAACTCATTATCTAGTTAAATACTATATTAGATATATCATCTCACAATCACTCGTAATCAAATTCCATGAAGTGATTCATGTGAGTGCGATGTATCTCCAATACTCAAAATCATATTTCATAAGTACTCATGAACGTTGCGCAAACTTTTGCTATGTCTAAACGCTTAGACAATCTACAAGCCAATTCATGAAATCTTCTTTCATACCTACTTACACGTATATCGACTGTGGATAATTTAAATAATCTTATTATTTAGGAGGTCCAAACATGCAAAGTGAACATAGTAAATAATTGACATAAGACAGTAACATTACTTTATAATAAACACCTTTATATTAATCCTCCATGTCAATTACAATTTATCTATTATTCAAGCTTCTAAAAGCATCTATCATTAAAACTAATATCGTCCTTCAGCCCAATGCTCCAGCGTGCTGCAAGTGCTTACCCTACTCAGTCCCTTCGTAATGGGATCTGCTGGGTTCTCTTCTGACGATAACCTTCTTTACTACGAGGAGTCCCTCTTCTACCCCCGATGTCTAATGAAATGATATTTCCTATCGATATGCATGGATCTACTACCATATCCCTCGGTTCCTGGTTAAGGCAACTGATAGGTGCATTTTATGCACCTTTTTGCATGTTATTTCTGTCATTTATAGCATTCTACTTCATAATTTCTTGCATTTAGTTAATTATTTGGGCAATTGCATATTTCATTAAGAATGCCTCGTACTTCACCCATTTTTGATTTATTGTAGGCATTATGGAGCATGGAACGTGGAGCTTGGATGCATGGAGCTTGGATGCTTGGAGCTTTGGAGCATGAGGAGAAGATGAACCAATCATTCCATGGCAGAAAACATGAAGATGGAACCCGAGTCATTGTGCATTATTATCATAGCAAAGGACTATGTTTGAAACGCGATCTTGTCACACCGACACGGGTCGTGTTTGTCCTTTGTCATCTATATTTGAGCAACATGACTCATGGTGAAGCTAGATTGAAGATGAAGCCAACAGTGAAGACTTTTTGGAATTTAGCAAAAAGCATGGGCCATGCCAAAACACATGGTCAGACAAATGGCCATGCCAAAACACATGGGCGAAGGCATGGCCATGCCAAAAACGCATGGTCTTATGGAAAGCACGTGAACGTTAATTAAAAACACAAGAACGTCATTTCAAGGCGGAACGGTTTTTGAGCATGTTGAGGGCGATCTTGGGCGATTCTAGGAGAATTTTTGAGCTTTTGAGAAGACCTAATCATTGCAAACACTTTTGATTTCATTTAGTAAGCATTAACATTTCCACTTTCATCTTTATTCTTGTTTGATTTTGTTCTTAGCCATGTGTGGCTAGAAACCCTAGTTTCTAGTTCTTGTTCAAAACATGTTGATTGCTTGACTTGAAGCATATTAATTGATGTTTGATTTGGGATTATATTCTAGTGATTATGTTTTTGTTGTAAACTAGCAATCCTTGAATTTTGATTTGTGTTTGATTGGCCCACTTTCATGAATTGAATTTTGTGTAGTTAATTAACTTGTAGGGCACCTAACCGTTCTATTAAGTTAATAATTGGTAACAAGCAATAGTTTTTCTTATTGTAAAAACCATATTTCACAGGTTTTCACACTTCGAGCGTATGAGAAGAAATGGAACATTGTTGGGAAGCTTGTAAAAAACTTAATGCGAGTTTTTTCAATGCAATCTAAGAGCGTGTTT